TCCAGTGCGCCACCAGGCCGGCCCTATTTCTTTGTTTTTGATTTAAAAACTATTCACCTAAGGCCGGCCCGGTGGCACACTCAGTAGAGTGCGGCGCTTGGGAGCGCGGCAGCGCTCCCACCGAGGGTTCGGATCCCATATAGAGACTGGTCCGCTCACTGGTTGAACATGGTGCGGGCGCAACACCAAGGGTTGCGATCCCGTTGCCGGTCATGAAAAAAGACAAAAAAGGAAAAAAAAACTATTCACTTTGATGGTATAAAAGAATATGAAGTAGAGGAAAGCTGGCACATCAGCTAAGTTGAGAAAACCAATGTGATGCTTTCCTTCAGTCTAATGAACTTATTGTCATAAGGCAAAGAAAAAAACATGTACAGTGTACGTGCCCATAAATCTTTGTAAGTAACAGAATTCGGATTCCTAAAAGTGGAAAAGCAACTTAAAAAACAGATTATAAGATGTTTTAGTGTGAAAGTCTTTATGTTTTAAGTCATAGGTCTGTCCATGCTTAGATTCTTTCTCCTCTAGAAACTATTACTAAGGAGAAAAATATACAGGTTTGATAGAAAAGAGAAGATATCTCTTTCTATCCTGTCTGAGTCCATCTGGCTAAAAAGATTTTTAGAGTTTTTTTTTTAAAGTGGTTTTTTAACACCTTGACCTTGGTGTTAACAGCACCACGCTCTAACCAAGTGAGCTAACTGGCCAGCCCTAAAAAGATTTTTAGTTGTCTTCAATTTTATACCAACCTCGATGTTTGACTGGATCATTTGAGACCAAGTGGGAAGCTGTGGTTTATATTTATTCAGACCCATGCCTAGCTCCAGGTAAGGCTGAGATTTGGGCTTCAAGAGTCAAGCTTCTACATTTTTCTTTTCCCTTTGTACAAAGGTGCTCTGGCCAACAAAGTGAAGAGAAAAGACACATTGGCAATGAAGTTGAACAACAGACCCAGTGAACCAGAATTGAATCTGAATTCTTGGCCTCATAAAAGCAAGGAGGAGTGGAATGAAATACGGCACCAGATTGGAAACACACTAATCCGGTAGGCCTTTGCTTAGATTAGCTTGATTTGATTTGATTATGCTGGTGTGTGTGTTAGATGCTTACTTTGTGGTGGAACATTCATTTATCTTTCTCTTTTAAATATATTTTTAAAAAATACATACTGGATACAGTTGGGTATTCTCTATGAATTTGGAAATTATGGAATTAGGTGATTCTGAGACCTTTAAACCAGGAGATAGATATGAGTTTGCAAAAGTTTCTAGAGAAATTAGGGTGGTTCTTAGGACAGCAAGATTCCTTTCACTTTTTTGGCCAGTTGCTCAACCACAAGATGCCAACCCAAAAAACAATCACACCCATATTTTTTATTATATCTGTTTCATATGTTCCATGTAACTGCCTCCTTTCAAAGTGTTAGTATATTTTTCAAGTCATCTGGATCCAAAAACATAGATAAACTGAATGCAAGCCAGCTTCCTGCATATGTAATACCCATAAGAATCCAGGTATATAGACAGGCGTTTGCCTGGCACAGATGTTTCTCCCAGTAGAGAGAGGAAAAGGAGATCTAACTCTTAGCATATTCCCTACAAAATAATTAACTGAGGATGTCCATTAATTAAAATATAGTTTTCTCTCTTACCTCAGACGCCTGGCTTTACTATGTTGTATGCTGCACCTAGGGACAAGTTTAGCCCTTTGTCTTCTGATAGACACTTTTTGGATCCTGAAACCATTCTCTGCAGCTTTACTTAAACATACAGAATGGTCAGCCTGTACGACCTCTATGGTCTGATTCCTGTTGAAGTTAAGAGAGATTAAAGGGAAGGGAAGTAAAAGGTCTCCCCTTGTTCTGACGTTCATAACTCACAGGTCACCAATCTGGAAATCAATTTGGTAGATGTGCATCTGAGTATGGTACCAAAAGTTCATCTTAGGTAAAGTTAAAGTGTCTGACCTTTTACATTTAAAGTGCAGAGATTTAGTATTTGTATGCATTACACATTTATTAACTCATTCATTCATTTTATTTTGAAAAACCATTTCAAACTTAAAGTTGCAAGAATATATGAAGTACTTCAGAAAGTTCATGGAAAAATAGAATTGAAAGATAATATGAATCTATCCATGAACTTTTTAAAGTACTTTCGTATGCCCTTCACCTAGAAGGGTGTTAACATTTCCACATTTGCTTTATCAATTATTGTGTGCTCGCTCTCTCTGTACACACATACATATTTTTTCCCCCTGAACTACTTGAAAATAAATTGCAGACATCATGATTCTTTACTCTTGAGTACTCATGTTTTCTCCTATGAACAGGGGCATTCACTTACATAGTAACCACAGCATACTTAACAAATTCAAGAAATTTAACATCAATACAATATTTTTGTCTCATATACCATCCATACTCAATTTCACCAATCATCCCAATAATGCCTTTAATAGCAGTTTTTCCCTAGGTCTGGTGTACAGTCTAGGACTACATATTTAATTGTTATGTCTCTTTGCTCTCCTTTAATCTGAAACAGTTGCTTAACCTTTTTGTTTGTTTTCTGTTATGATATTATCATTTTTTATGAACATAAGGCAGTTATTTTGTGGAATGCCCCTAAAGTTGAATTTGTCTGTTTCCTCATTGTGAGATTCTGGTTATGCATATTCAGCTGTTCTCATTACTTGTTTGTTGTCTTCCCCATGACATCCCATTTCTTCCCTCAGCTTGATGTAAGTAGGAAACTCATCTGTCTTGTCTACCACTATACATATTCCCAAGACCTGGGAACAGTCTTATTTCCAGACTCTTGGAAGACATGTTATTATTGCTTTAGTCACTATGTGGAGGAAACTAAAATAATCCTCCTTTCTATCAAACTGTGATTTGCAAAGATTTTCTCCTAGTATAAAAGTAAAGAAATACATGTTCAGTACTTTATATTTTTGTTCAAAAATTACCAAGAAAAGAGAAAAAAAATCACCCGTAATCTTAAACCCTATAAACCAGGGTTCAGCAAACTTTTTCTGTAAAAAATCAAATAGTATGGACTGGCCAGTTAGCTCAGTTGGTTAGAGTGTGGTGTTATAACACCAAGGTCAATGGTTCAGATCCCCATACCGTCCAGCCACCAAAAAAAAAAATTATAATTTTATAAAAAAAATGCAATGAGATATCAGTACA